AGAAGGTCGTTGATGTTCTTCTTCTCCTTGATCGGGACGCCCCACCTCCATGACCCCGGGGCCTCCTGGATGACGCGCCCGAGAGAAGACGGCAAGGGGGCAACGGCATCATCCTTGACATAAAACCATTGCGAATGCCACCCCTTATTGGAGGTGGACAGACGCATTAACGGGTACGCATCTGCCCGGTTGTTGTGGAGGTGAATGCCGGCGCATCCCATCGATGCGTGCAGCTCCTGCTTCTCGACCTACCTCTTTAGAAGATTGACGGCGAAGATGTGCCGCCATAGGTCGAAGTGGGGATCAATCCCCATGAACCCCTCGCATAGGGCGACAAATGCCGCAATGTGCTAGATCCCATTGGGGGTAAGGTGTTGTAGCTCCACCTGATAGTAATCCAACAGCCCCCGTAGGAACTTGTGAGCAGGTATGCCGAATCCCCACTCATGGAAGTGAGTGAAGGACACGACATACCCTTCGGGTGGCAACGGCTTGTCCTCGTCATCGGGCAGCCACCACTCCTCGATGGCGGTCAGCGGGCGAAGGAGGCCACGATGAATGAGGCCCTCTAGGCGTTGAGGGGAGGTGCTGGATATGCACCATGGCTCCATTGAAACAGTTGGGAGGGGGGCGAATGCGAGTTCAACGGCGGCTGCGATGCAGACACGAGCTTGACGGTGGCCGCGATGCGAGTGCGGGAGGCTCTGGCGATTGGCGGCGAAGGTTGACGATGCGAAGGCAAAAAGGTGAAGTACGGAACCCTAGGGGTGACGGATGCGAGAAGAGCAACCGCCCGCCTCGATCTCCGAGCCTACCACTATACGCCGCCATGTCACGCCGCGGGATATGCCCCCGCGATCCCTATCCTTTCTCACCAAAATCGCGCCGGACGGTTCGCCTTCCCGAGTGGATCAGACTCTTTTCCCACGGAGGGGATACGGGCCAGAAAATTTCTTCTTCGGCCCGTATGGGCCCAGAAAGCCCAAGGGTCGGCCTGACAGCCTCAATGGCCATCCCAACAAGGGATAGGCCCACGAGCGACTAAGACGCAGGTACATGAGCATCGGTAGGGTCTCGATCCACGGTCGAGCCCCAGCCATGCTGACCCTGGATGAAATCCCCGTGAACGGGATACTAGGGTTCCCTTAAAGCTATCCAGTTGACAAAAACCGAGTCTCATAGCCCTACCAGCGAAGGGTCCAAAAAACCCCCTGGGCGATTCTGCCCGAATCACCCGGGGGCTCGGGGCGAGCGCACCCTCTGGCAAACCAAAACACCCCCCGGGCAATTCTGCCTGAATCACCCGGGGGCTCGAGGGCTACACCCATCGGGTGCACTCGCGCGTACCCTCTGGCGAACCAAAACACCCCCGGGCGATTCTGCCCGAATCACCCGGGGGCTACTGTCGGGGACCTAATACTAGGGTACCTAATGAGGTGGAACTAATGACCATCGAATGTTGACACTTCCGATCAAACGAGAACGCTACTGCGTTTCTTGTCCGAACGACGGAAGGCCGGTTCCGCCTCGCCCGACGGCTAAGGGCTGGCTCCACCTCGCCCGACCCCCAAGGGATGGCTCGGCCTCGCCCGACCCCCGAGGACTAAGGGCTCCGCCTCGCCCGACGATCAAGGGCTGGGTCCGTCTCGCCTGATGTCCGAGGGCGGGCTCCGCCTCGCCCGATGGCTAAGGGCTGGCTCCGCCTCAGCCGACCCCTAAGGGCTGGCTCCGTCTCGCCCGACCCCCAAGGGTTGGCTCCGCCTCGCCCGACCCCCGAGGGCAGGCTCTGCCTCGCTCGATGTCCGAGGGCAGGTCCCGCCTCACCTGACGGCTGAGGACAGGCTTCGCCTTGCCCGACGGCCGAGAGCAGACTCCGCCTCACCAGGCGAGTACACCCTGCTCCTTCATAATGATGAGCACAGGGTACGACATGACATTTGAGTCAAACGCAGCACCAAGGACCATGCCCTGCACCGCTGCAGGAAAGTACCGTCAGGGTACGACGGGATGGGCACTTTAGACCATTCCGGACATGGCAGAGTCCGAATAGTGTTGTAGGCGCCGCCTTCAGCCCTCGGGCACAGAACCTGACATAAACATACGACAACCACTACGGTCCAAGAAGAGACTCGCGCCCTCTACAGTGATGAACGTACAATCACCGCGCCGTCCGCTCCCCACAGGGCTACAAGTCAACACCCTTGTCCGACACGCCGCCCGGGGGGCGGGACGGGACGTGACCACTTGCTGATCAGGTAAGGGCGTGGCGTCGTCAGCACACAGGCGTCCGGCGAACATGCCCATCCCTGACACCATCTGGCCGTGTCAGCGAGGCTGGCTCAGCGAAAAAGGAGGACCCAACACCTTCAGAGGGGGCTCCTTGGCCTCTGGTTTTTCTCCTTTCTCCAACATGTAACCCCTGCTCCCCCTTGGTCTATAAAAGGAAGGGCAAGGAACACCGCTAAAGAGACGGATCAACTCACAGAGAGAAAAATCGACACGATTCAACAACACACATCACACACAGCTGAGCAGTGACTAAGCCCTCAGCGACCTGTCAACCATTCCATCAGAGACTTGGGACCCGTTCCTCTCTCGACCGTTTGTACCCCCTACTACGAACCATTTTCGGTACTAATAACACGAGCAGCAGCAGACTGGACGTAGGGACGTTCAGCCCGAACCAGTATAAACCTTATGTCCTTTAGTGCACCATCCGGGCCTAGCGCGCAACAATTACAAATTTACTAGCCGGTGTTTGTTCGAAACACCGACAACTTGCTACGAGTTACGAACGAAACAGGTAAAACATTTGGATCATACGCTTGAAACATATGTGTATAGCCACTGCAATATATGTAATATCCAAATAAAACACTTGCAACATACATCTAAAACGCTGAATCATTTAAAAACATACACTTGCAACATGCGTATGAAAGCAGTTGAAACATGTAGAACATACACTTACAATACGTGCATAGCCATTGCAACGTGTGCAAACATCTCGATCTACTTTTGCAACATCCAGATGAAAACACATGCAACATTGAGATGAAACATCTGAAACACTTGAAACATACGCTTGTAACATGCGCTTTTAGCTCAATGTCACTTTGCTGCTCGGACGAATGGAGGCTCCTCATTGCGGAGCTCGACGCCGGCACGGAGGTCGACGGCGGCGCATGGAGCTCGCCAGTGCGGCAGTGGCACGGGCAACTCGTCAGCAGGGTAGCATCACACGAAGCTTCTCCCCTCGCCTCCTTGCTGGAGCATCCGTCGTAGAGGCTCGCTAGCTCGGTGGAGGCGGCCGCGACACACGGATGCCATGGTGCAGGCAGCGAACGATGCGGTGGAGCGTGGAGCGAGAAAGGCGGGCGGCGCAGTGGAGGCGGCCGCGTCGTGTGGATGCTACGGTGTAGGCGAGCGGTGTGGTGGGAGCGTGGACTGGGGAAGGCGGGCAGCACAGTGGAGGCGAAGCACAGTAGATATATATTTTTTTAAAAGGGGTGCGAGCGAGCGGACAGTGCGGTAGAGAGCTGGGAAGCCGCGTCCGTCCGGTCGCACGCCCTACGAGAGCATTAGCGTTTTGTTAGAAAGGCTAGGGATTTACTAGGTGGGAAATACCATTTTACTTTTTTTTTGAAACAAGGAAATACCATTTTACGTCCAACACACGTTTGAGATGGGCCTAATAAATCACAGGGGCGGCCTTATTTTCACACTCGTTTGAGATGATTAGCCGTCCAACCCAATGATGTTGTATAAACTACTGCCATCTTGGCCCCTCCAGCAGTCCAGCTCTGACGAATCGTCATCCACTTGGCCGCTTGATTCCTCTCCCCGCTTCCGTGCTGCCTGCTGGCCGCCGGCCGAGGCGACAACCGAGGCCACCGATCAGTTGACTCCTGTCTCCTCATCGCAGGGTCTCACACTATCACACGAGCATCGAATTCGAACCCTCTCCGCAGGAGCAGAAGACGCTTCGCTTGGTAAGGAAACCCTACACTACTTGGACGAGCTGCTTCTCGTTTTGTTCAGAAGGATTTTTTGTTCCCTTGACGCCTGCCCACTTCTCAACCTTTCGTTCTTGGACGGATTTGCCGTCCAGTTCATTGTGGAATTTCGCCTGTGCGTGGAGGAGTAGAGGGAAGCCGGTCTATTTTCCAAATTTGCTAAGGGTTCAGTTGACCTTGCCCCCCTGACCCCCATGTTCCGCCCCTTTCCGGCAAACTCTCTGAATCGGGCTATGCTGTGCGATTCTGGTTCGTTCAATGTTGGGGGTCCAAATGATGGCTGCTGTACTTTACCATTTAAAATCCGGGTAAATGCAGTGTGCGCACAGTTCCTAGTTCCCTACTTTAGTTTAGAGGTTGATACCTGTTTACATTGGTAATTTGGTATAGATACCTGTTTAAGAAAGTGATTTTTTTTTTCTTATTCGAAGCAAGAGAAAACTGGTTACCGTGAAACGTAGACAATGTGCAGTGTGCTGTACGTGGTATTGCTTTCGTAGATGGATTAGGAGAAAAAACCTGCGAGCACCCAGGTTCAAGCGACCCCGGGTGGTTGGCCTCCTCTCAACTAGAGGCACCAATAAACTTATTTACACAGAAGACTCAAACAGGTTTAGCCAATGGGGCACAGCGAGAGTATTATACAGGGGCAACTGGTCATGCAGACAGTGTACTGTGCATGGTATTGCTTCCTGGATGGATAAGGAGAAAACGACACTTCTGGGTTGCTTGGCCGCGACTGGAGTGCAACTCTGACAAGTAATCTTCAGACAATGTTACATAGACAGGATGTTGCTATCTTCTTCTCTCATCGGTTTGTTTTGACTTCACTTCTACTCACGCACCATTGCCCTGATCCAATTGCTGTTTCCTATCCTTGCAGTTTGCTAAAACGTTGCTGGGGTTGCGGCATGTCTACTTGGGCATAGCTAGAGGGATTGTTAATTCGAGTTAGTGCTTTGATCTCGGCTGTAGCAGAGCGCAATGGGCATCCCAAGGGCTTGTTCGGTTTGCTGTTTTTTCCATGTGCTGGTTCTTGTCTGTTCCTTGTGTCAGATACTCTATGTTGGATCAGTGGTGGCTCAAACTGCTCAGTTGACTGTGGATGCTTCACCTCAGAATGCTCAGACAATCCCTGGCAATATGTTTGGCATCTTCTTTGAGGTGAGTGTAATGTTGAACTGTCGTTCGTACATTTGTTTTATGTATAGTAACCTGTAGTAAATCAGCACATTTATCTTACCAATCCTCTGCAGAGATGCAATTCTAAGGTTGAATCACTTAGTAGACCAACTCAATGAACTCTTGTGCACTGGTCTAAAATGGTTAACTGTCTATGTTTGTGCTAAATGTCCACAAACAATCAACTTCAGTTCACGCAATATACAAGCTGAGTTAGGCCATCACATTTTCATGCTTGGCTATTCAGGAGCGCAGCTGGTGCTTACTTTTCCTATAAACTATAGTATTACAATTTTGGAAAACTTACCTTCAGTGATACTAATCAACATAAACTGTTTCTTGATCATACCATTTCCTTTCAGTTTTGGTATGATAAAAAGTTTAAAACTGAACTCCGTGGAGTAGTGTTAGATGATGTTTGGTTGTTTTACTTTGACAATGATGAATCTTGGTAATTCTTGAATGTACTTGTAGGAGATCAACCATGCTGGAGCTGGTGGATTGTGGGCAGAGCTTGTAAGCAACAGAGGTAATGGGAACTCAATGTCTAAGGTTGACCAGCAGTCCAGCACTTTGCCGGAAGAAAGCCTTGTTCATCATTTGACCCTCTTTTTATCTTCTGTTGACAAACAGTTTAAATGTTTTATCATCAGAGTGGTACTCTGTATCTGTAATACTTCCTCTATCCCAAATTATAAAACGTTTTGGCATTTCTAGATTCATAGATTTTACTATGTATCTAGACATAATATATATCTAGATACGTAGCAAAATCTATGAATCTAGAAAAGCCAAAACGTCTTATAATTTAGAACGGAGGGAGTAACTTATGGATAATATCAGGAAAACTATTTCACGATGGCACTGATTATCTTTGTTTGTGATAATCATACTGGTTTGTGTAGATAGTTAAAAGCAGACCTACTAGATGCTCAGAGCTCATTCTATGCAATGTCTCCATCAAAGGAGCTAACAATCATTTATACCTACCTTTTTGTAGCAGAGATTTCTTTGTAGATCATATGGAATAGGATCTCAAGAATGGACTCAAGATTCAGTCTTAACTTTTATGGCTCCTTACAAGTTTTCCTTTATGCTACAGGTTTTGAAGCTGGTGGTTCTAATACTCCTTCAAACATTGATCCATGGTCGATCATTGGGGATGAATCCAATATTATTGTGGCAACAGATCGGTCATCCTGTTTTGCTAGTAACCCAATTGCACTTCGAATGGAAGTACTTTGTGGAGCTAGTGGAACTAATGCTTGCCCATCAGGAGGAGTTGGAATCTACAATCCTGGTTACTGGGGCATGGTATGACCTTTATTATGTATTTAATAACACAATTTGTAGTTTTTCTCCCCCTTTTTTTTACTATGGAATCTTCCATAACTTTTTTTCATCTGCCTGTTGAATATGCTTTTTAGGAATTTTCACTTAGGTATTTTTTAGATTACTTACTGAGGTCTTCTTATCCTTTTCTTTTTTCTTTTTCTTTGATGGATTAAAATTCTCTGTACTAAGTACTAATATCTGAGCCTACAAGAATACTATACATGAACATCTCTTCTCCCTTCTAGATTTGATAAATCCATAAGATAAGCTCATCTCCATTATAATGTTTGCTACAATTGTTGCAGAACATTGAAAGAACAAAGGTTTATAGAGTTACCATGTACATTAGGTCATCAGATTCGGTGGAGCTGACAGTTTCTTTAACAAGTTCAGAGGGTCCTCAAAATCTAGCTTCTCATACAATCATGTAAGCAATATCCCATGGTTTAACTTATCAAGTACTTCATGTGCTACTATTGTGCCCATTTCATTGAAGTAATAGATATGCAATATAAATTGTAGGGGAGACAGAGAAGATTTTGCTGAGTGGACGAAGGTTGAGTTTGATTTGCAATCAAATTATATAAATACTAATTCAAGACTTCAGCTTACAACCACCAAAAGTGGCATAATTTGGTTTGATCAAGTATCACTTATGCCCTCAGATACTTATATGGTAACTTAATTTCCAAATTCCCTTTTATCTTTTTGATGTTCCATAGGAAGATGATGCATATTTCTTCCATACGTTTCCCTTGCAACCTAAAAATAGTATGTGAGAAGCAAAATCAAAATTTATGTGCAAATTGCCTCATCACATATCCATACATCATAGCCTGAACTATAAGTTTAAGTAACTTTAATTTCTGTATGCTGGAAAGAATTACTCTTGGTTCAGAGAATGCTAACTGACCTTGATCAAACTGTGCCGTCCATGGATAGCCACCATGCAGTTATAATAGTTTGCATCCTACTGTTTCTAAATACAAGCTGCAGCCTGCAGCCATCATAATCAAAATTGCATTGTGTGATGATGCATTACCAATTCAGCACCTGCTAAATTATGAGTTTCTATACACAATTCTCTTGTATGATTGAAAACTTAATCCTAATTAACACCAGAACAAAGGAAAAATATCTGATCCATAGTTAACTAAGATGTCAACTTCCAAGGACCTTACATTTCTCTGTATCAGTGACCTTTATCTATCACTTTATTTCTCAGGGCCATGGTTTTCGTAAAGATCTTGCCTCTATGCTGGCAAATCTGAAGCCTCGATTTCTAAAATTTCCAGGTTTGTCGCTTGATTATCGTACTTCTGAGGTTTTTCATATGTAGAGGTTACACAATATTGTGAATAGTGTTCAAGTACTTGCCAATTACATGACTAGCAGTCAGGTAGAGAATTAGATGCATATACCTTCCACATACTCTTGGCTCTTCTGTCACTGACAGTTATGTATTTCTGTGGTTAATGTAAAATGTTTCACCATGCTGACTCAGAGTAACATAGCAGTATTCATTGTTGCAGCATGCATGGCATATTATTTCTGTATTTGCAGGAATTGGATGATGATAATGTAGAAAATATATGCCTTGCGTTATCTTTCTAAAAAAATAGATATGTTGAAAAGATGTGCCCTGCAACTATGATTATCAGTTTATTATTTTACTAAAATTGGTCTGTTACTAATCATGTAGTTTAACACACAACAACAACAACAACAACAACAAAGCCTTTAAGTCCCAAACAAGTTGGGGTAGGCTAGAGTTGAAACCCAACAGAAACAATCAAGGTTCAGGCACGTGAATAGCTGTCTTCACCAAGATCAACATTTCTGTGATTGTGGCAGAACATTTCAAGAATCAAGAGAACAAAAGGAAGAAACTTCCATAGATGATACTACATCTAGTATCACTCTTTTACTGGATGCAGGATGCATCAATTTGTACCCGCATGATATATTTTATGTTTGTGTTTCTGTTACACAGATGAATCAAGAATGTTTAACTAAGAAAATAAATTATGTCTTTTTATAGGCTTGTAGTTAAACAGTGAGGTTGCTGAGAACTGACAGTATATTTGTCACTTTTAGGTGGCAACTATGTAATGGGAAATTACCTTATAAATGCATTCCGCTGGAGTGAAACTGTTGGACCATGGGAAGAGAGACCTGGCCACTTCAATGATGCTTGGGCCTATTGGACTGATGACGGACTTGGGTTTTTTGAATTCCTCCAAGTGAGTAACATAACATGCTGCTACTTGTCTAACTGAAAGTTCACATAACTGTGGATATAGCCTCTGTTGATTCTGAGACCTTCTATTTCACTGATGTAGCTAGCAGAAGATCTTGGTGCTTGCCCAGTTTGGGTTGTAAATGATGGTAACTGATATATCAACTTATCAAGAAAATATTAAAAAGGCATAAAACCATTACATATTTGGAGAGATAATGTAACCTTGACTAGTTTGTTGGAATTCCTTTCAATGTGACAGGGCCAGCATCTATCAAGAAGTTTCATCAGCAACAATAGCTGCATTCGTAAAGGTTTGTTCTTCAATATTTAATACGAAAATGATCCTTTTAGTCCCAAAACTGAATTGAAGATGCTTAAACTCTTCAATTGACAAAGTTCATTTCATCTGCATTGACTTCTCTTAGTAAGTTTTCCCAGCATTAAGCTGAAGATCCTTTTTACGGCAGGTTTAACTATTAACTCTTTTTTCCTTCACTGAACATCTGGTAGTCAGAAAAAATTGTTAACAAATTTATCCAGCAATTTAATTTATTTATCAAATAGGGTTATATGTTTTTTCTCAACGACGCAGGGGAGCTGCGTATCATTTTATTAAAGAAGAAAAGGGTGGGAAACCCTTACAAATAGGTGCTACAGAGAAATGATATATATGCTACAGAGATAACAGCAAGATTGCGAACTGAGGAATTCCAATAGTGGGGTTCTGCTAGCCAAAAATGTCGCACATACATAAGGAATGAAGTTTCCTAGAGCATATCAGCATATGGTTCCATTCTAAGAAACATTGTATTGTCGTTCAAATTTCTTCATGCTTGCCATGTTGCAGGATGTTGTTAATGGTATTGAGTTTGCCAGGGGAGACCCTGAGACTGCATGGGGTTCAGTTCGTGCAGCAATGGGACATCCAGAGCCCTTTCAGCTTTATTATGTTTCAATAGGAAATCAAGAATGTTCAAAGTACTATTATAAAGGTTTCCATGCAATTCCATTTTCCTCCTGTCTGGTTTCATAGTATTTTCCAATTTCTTCTGTTTCCTTTTATTGTTATGCCAAGAAAACCAATACTTGTCCCATTTTGCAGATAACTACGTGAAGTTCTATTCTGCAATAAAAGCATCCTATCCAGACATCAAAATCATATCAAGCTGTGACAGATCTGCTATTTCACCAGTCAACCCAGCTGATTTGTATGATGTTCATGTAATGACTGTTTTGTTCAGTTTTCTCTTAGATAATAATTTTCCCAGTAGAGGTGACATCTGCTATGCTTCAGGTCTATACTTCATCAGGTGATATGTTTTCCAAATCTAGAATGTTTGATAACACAGCCCGTGACGGACCCAAGGTACTTGCTTTGCTTTTGCTACCGCAATTGTCATCCTTACAGCTGGCTGGTAATGTCCTACATAATTAAGTCCTTCGTAGGCAATTGTTAGTGAATATGCTGTGACTGGAAGTGATGCTGGCGAGGAACACTAATAGCTGCTTTAGCTGAAGCTGCATTTCTCATTGGATTAGAAAGGAACAGGTTCGTTTTAAATTCTCTTTCTGGTTTGGCTCCTGCTTGATGGTAGATTGTGTTGCAGACTAATCTGTTCTGATTTGAAACTTTTTCTATGCAGCGACATGGTTGAGATGGCAAGTTGTGCCCCACTCTTTGTAAACGACAATGATCAAAGGTAAACGTGAATGTTTACTTCTGCATGTAATTGTGTCTGTACTTGACGATTTCATCAATATTTAATATAAAAAAATATGCTCTGCTTGATAGGTGGAACCCAGATGCTATTGTGTTTAATTCATGGCAGCACTATGGATGTCCAAATTACTGGATGCTACACTTCTTCAAAGATTCAAGTGGCGCTGCACTTCATCCGTCCACTATTCAACTACCAAACTATGATCAATTGGTCACATCTGCTATCACGTGGAAGAATCCACATGATGGGAACACTTACCTGAAAATAAAGGTGATCTCTCTCTCTCTCTCTCTTACTTAGGAACTCAGCTCTGCAAATAAAAATGAAAAAATAATAACTTGGCAAAGAAAAATTCTTTTGCAGGTTGTAAATTTTGGAAGCAAAGCTGTTAATCTGAATATATCTGTAACTGGGTTGGAAACTGATATTCAGACATTTGGATCCATAAAGACGGTTCTCACGTCAGGTTGGCTACGGGATGAGAACTCCTTCCAACAGCCCGACAAGGTTTGATACTGTCGAGTGTCGACTTGATTCAATGCATGGGAAACTAAGAGCAACATGGTAGTGATTACGCCTTGAATTAGTTGTTGTGTTTGTGATGTCTGAACTTTTGTGCTATAGGTGGTGCCGGCGGCAAGTCCAATAACCAATGCGGGCAAGCAGATGGGTGTTGTACTGAACTCATACTCCCTGACCTCATTTGATCTCCTCTTGGATTCGGACCAGACGGTGCCTGTCTCAGTGTCGAGCCTCCATTCCAGCGTGTGATTAGTGTTCAGATATATGCGTGCCCACAATACTCAATACCGATACGGGTCCCCCAAGGCTTCAATAGAAAATACGATATATGTGAATTATGAAGTACAGCTGGTTATGTATATGGATCGTTGTACACGAAAGTCAACAAACATGGTTTTCACAGACGAACGACGTGAATTAAAGGGTTAATCTAGTAAGTACATGAACTGGCTTTAATGATCGCCCAGCTTAAGGCAGCATACATCCGTTGTAGTCTAGCTGGTTAGGATACTCGGCTCTCACCCGAGAGACCCGGGTTCGAGTCCCGGCAACGGAATTTTTAAAGTTCTTTTTGTTGTTTCGCACTGACATTTCTCCTGTACCGATGCTCTTTTTTAAGTAAAATCGTTTAGGTCCAACTATTCCAAACTTCTGTCCTGATCCACTATAGCGAGTGTGGCGTATACTCCTTTTTTACTAAAATTATAAGACATTTTGACTTTACTAAATAAATTCGTATTTTTTGTTATGTATACTTATCTAGATTTACAGTTTTTGTTATAATATATACTATGTCTATAGATATATAATAAAAGCAATGAAAACATCTTATACTCCCTCTGTTTATAGATATATAATAAAAGCAATGAAAACATTTTATAGTTTGGAAGAGCGAAGTATAAGACTTAAAGGAAAGCATTTTTCAAAGGTAACATTGAAAAAAAATAGAAGATATAGCAATATAGGCCTCTTTCGCTTGGAGGAATCGATAAATCTGGAGGAATTTATGAGAGGAAATCAGCCGTGAACATTAAATTTCAGCTGTGAACAATACTTTTTTAGCACCAGCCGAACGAGGCCATACTCCCTCTGTCCCAAGACAGAAGTTCTCATTTCTCGATAAGTCAGTTTTTTTTTAACTTTGACCAATTATATATAAAAGAATATTAATATTTATAATACATAATTAGTATCATTAGAAAGATCGTTAAATATACTTTCATAATAAACTTATTTGGAGATTTAAATATTGCACATATTTTCTGCAAACCTAGTCAGAGTTAAGAAAGTTTGACTTACACTCCTATAATAACTTCTATTATGGGACGGAAGGAGTACAGTACAGCCTAAGGTGCTCTTAAATAAAAGCGTTAAGGTCAAACTAATTTTTTTTCTCGAATACGCAAAAGATTTGCGTATCATTGTAATTAAGAAGAAGAGTTTAATCATAAGGTCAAACTATTTCAAACTTTTGTCGTCATCCACTACTGCAAGTGCCACGTATCTATATCTATACTTAATCATATATAATATATCAACATTTGGTAATAATATTGAAAGCAGAAATAATTTTTTCTATCTAACGTATTTTATTACTTCTTGCAATACACGCTTGCACCTTTTCTCTCTCGCGCGCGTCCACGACATGGACTCACATATGAGTTAAAACAACACACATCTAGCCACGATGGGGAGTTTGATTTCAAAATGTATTAAAACAGATAATATGATCACCTTCAAAAATAGATAATATGATCGTTGCATAAATTGTCGACCAAGAAATCATCCAGACAACAATACAATGAGTTGTTTTATTGGAAGTACATACATATTTACTAGTAATTGTAATATCAAAAGGAGAAAATGTTTGTCCTGCATAGCATCTCCCCCCTCCCCTCCTCCACATCTCCCTCTTGTCATCCTTACGTTTCCAATCCAAATTCAACAAAAGATCACATTTCAAATAGTGCACTTTAGCCATAGGATAGAGTCCAACTTGAAAAATGTATTAGAAGAGGTGATATGTTGGTTGTATAAATCTTCAAACCTCAAGTCGTCTAAATCACATGGCCATGTTCCTTTTATCCTAAAAAGTATGTAAATTTTGTTTTGCGACAAGTCAAACATTCTCAAGTTTAACTAGGTCTACAATTGCTGCTACTGCAGACATGATGTTCTACTCTACAGGACCAATACTTCGGGTTTTTGCAGCTGTTGCAGCTAATTTAGTGCAGCTGATCAGAGCTTTTTTTTGGGTTGTCTCTGCTTACTAGGGAAAGGAAAACATCTTTTAAGAAAAAGGGTGTGCCGACCAACATCTTTAGAGAGAAGGCTATTCTATCCATGCTCAATGCACGTGACGACAAGATGCGGTAGTAGTTTCCTTGTCATTAAGTTACCACTAAAAAGTTACCGCTAATCACATGGGTAAATCAACTAATCATGGCTTTGTCAGACTATGGATCAAGCCTGACGGTGAGCTGGGTGGATTACTACTAAGAACCGAGTAATTGAAGAACAATTGATGATAAACGAAGAACTCAACTAATGTATGCAACGGAATTGTAGCAACTGAATGTAACTGCAATGTAATTGAATGTTTACAGAATGAGACTTCTCAGGTTCGATGCCTTCCCTTCTACCAGAGCTCGGGTTATATACCCCCGATTACATGGCCTTGGTCCCAACTGACATGACTAACAGGACAACTAATGCCTCTCCCAATCCGGCCTAGCAACGCTTAGTCATCACCCCGTCTTCCCTGTTGTCAGATCACCAATAGTGGTTGTTAGCTTCCTGACAGTCGCCCCTCCTTGGAAACCAGCTTGTCCCCAAGCTGGACAATCTGGATAACGCCTCCTTATATCATCCACTTCCTCCCAGGTGGAAAGATATGGTGGCATACCTGACCACTGGACCTGAATCTGGTGTAGAGTAGAGGACCCTCTTTTAATCATTCGAGCAGCAATGAGCTTAACTGGACAGACAATCTCCATCGGATCTGAGGGTAACTGATCAACCCTTTCATCAACCACTGCTTCTGCTGGGACATGTTTCTTCAATTGAGATACATGTACTACTGGATGAATCTTGGAATCTTCAGGTAAATTCAGTTTGTATGCAACCACTCCAACCTTGGCCACTATGGTGAATGGACCAAAGAATCTATAACTCCACTTGTGATTGCCTTGTTGAGCCACATAAGTCTGAATGTAAGGTTGAAGTCTGAGATAGACTTGATCGCCAACCGCAAACTCCTTCTCACTTCTCCTTTTATCAGCAAAATGTTTCATTCTCTGTTGAGCCCTATGAAGTTGATGCTTAAGCACATCATTCATCAAATTGTGTTCCAGCATCCACTGTTGCTAAACCCCAATTGCCTTGGAATATATCCATACAAGGCTTCAAACGGTGTCCTTCCCAGGGCTGAATGGAAGCATGTGTTGTACCAGAACTCCGCCATGGCTAACCACTTACTCCATTGCTTAGGACAAGCACTGACACTGCATCTCAAAAAAGTCTCAAGGCATTGGTTTAGGCGCTCATATTGCCCATATGTCTGTGGGTGATACGAAGAGCTTATTAGAAGTTGTGTATCCGAAAGCTTGAACAACTCCTTCCATAAGGCACTGGTAAAAATTTGATCTCTGTCTGATATAATACTATCAGGTAGTCCATGCAACTTATAGATATTGTCCATATACAGCTATGCAACTTGAATAGCAGTAAATGGATGAGCCAAGGAGAGAAATGAGCATACTAAGTGAACTTGTCAATCACCACCAAAATTGTATCATATCTCTGTGACTTTGGCAGCTGTTGACTGTAGTTAACAAACATTATAAACCGTCAATATAACATGCATAAGGGCATAAATATGATCACCAACAAAGGTCTAGGGGTTTAAACTAACAAATTCTATGAGTTTTGGTGAATCAGTGATTTCTACAGGGTTTATTCAGAAAATCATCAAAGTGGACCTAGATGTCAGAGTTAATCGCACTTATCCGCAGTGAAACGGACACCAGAAGACTCTAGAAGACTCAAGAGGACTCCACACCGAGGCGGAGCCCGAGAGCCGGCCCCACCTATAGGCCGCCCGGCCCCCATGGCCCACATGTCATCCTCCATTGTTATGTCGGTTCTCCACCGCCTCCTAGGTTGCATCTACGTCGTTCTTTAAGTTGGTTTGATCTAAGGGCTCACAATGGACGCATCAGCCTATATATACCAGCCCCTGCCACCCCCTTGAGGCATCAAGTCATTTGAGAAGATAGAAACCCTAATCATCCTCAGAGCTCCATCATATTCTAGGGCATAGCTAGTTAGGCTAGGTCTAGAGGGAGGCAAGCAGGCTTCGCTTGCATTCCCGATCGTGTCAAGAGAGTGGTTCGGTATAATCTTTGTATTCCCTCTCTCTTTTGTATCTCCATTACTTTTATATGCTTTCTACAATTGTTATGACAATATTAGTATTCATCTTATTCATATTCTTCGTTATAATATTCATCGTCTACTTTGATTATATACCTAGTATAGTTGGATTATCATCATATTTGAAAGGATCAAGATGCCCAAGAGGGGGGGGGGTGAATTAGGTTAATTCTAAATTTTCTTGCAATAATCAAATCCTACGGATAGCCCAATTAACCTCTTGTGCCTAGAAAAGTGTTTATGTCAAACTAATGCACAACAACCTCGCAACCTATGTTCCAGACTTACTCTAGCAAGCAATTCTATGGAAGTGAAACAAGTATTGAATTGCTCAAAGTAAATACTCAAAGTAAGTGCTCAAAGTAAATAGAGAGAGAAAGGAACGTGGCGATGTTTTGCTGAGGTATCGGAGAGTCGCCACTCCCCACTAGTCCTCGTTGGAGCACCCACGCAAGGGTGTAGCTCCCCCTTGATCCGCGCAAGGATCAAGTGCTCTCTACGAGTTGATTCTTCGACACTCCGTCGTGGCGAATCACCCAAAACCGCTCACAACTTGAGTTGGGTCACCCACAAGCTCCGCCGGGTGATCACCAAGCTCCCAATCACCACCAAGCCGTCTAGGTGATGGCGATCACCAAGAGTAACAAGCATGAACTCTCACTTGACCACGCGAAGCCTAATGAGAAGATGGATGCACACTTGTCTACTCTTGATTCACTAATGAGGTTTCACTCTTGGATTCTCAAATCACAAACACCTCACTAGGACCTTGCTCTTCTTGGCACTCACAAACGTGTTTCTCAGCTGTTGGAATG